GCGGTTCTAGGAATTTGTTGACAGCGCTGGCACATGATCTAGCGTTGTCAACTCCTTTCTAGAACTGCCGTCGCGACACGCACGCGACCTCCGTCGCAGCAAGCGTTGAACGGTCGGACGGACGTCGAGGTCTGACAGCGGCCAGTGTGACTTCGATTTCTATGTCATGTTTTCTGTTGTTTTGTAGATCGTTTTATAAACGCGAAATGAGCTCAGACTGAATATCTCTTGACTGATCAACTGCCATTAACAAACTATTCCACCATTTGCATCTTTCAGAGTAGAGCGTCTACCACCGGCGCCAGACGCTCTTGCACCAACAAGCGGCGCTCGGTTCCATTGACAGACGCGGAGTCAATCGATACCGCACGTATCGGCGATGCATACTTCCTTGATTAAACTTTTTAGCATTTCAGTCGCAGAATTTTGAAATCTCACTTTTCACGCTCCAATACAAAATTCGTCAGCGGCGGCGCGGCGTTGACGCGGCTAGGAGACAGAGCGCTGGCGGTTGACGCTCTACTCTGGAAGCGCCCGTCGAGGCGGCTCTATGTATAGGAGTACTCCTTGACTGACTTTCGATGTTTCCAACCGGCTGCTATACTCATTAGACTGGGTTATTTCTGAGTATTTGGCATTACAAACCAATTGGGCAGTTTACGGCTGACAGTAATAGTGTAGCACAGGTTGAATTGGGCTCCAAAAGACATCAACCCTTTCATCAGGTAGCCAGAGCACACGTCTTATAGGTCGTGCAGAAGGTATCTGTCAAGAACTTCGCAGTGATCCGGATTTCTGCCGGGATTCTCTGGAAGCTTCCATGGGTGCCTTCATAAGGGCGCTACATGCGCGTATACGCGTAACGAATCTGGTAACCTTTTCCGTGTTTGTTTACGGTTCGAATTCAGTTTCTCCACTGCTGAAACCATAATAAATTTGTACCAGGCTGTTTGCCTCAAAGCCCCTCCTGAAAAGTCCCTTTCTGTGCACATCTTGTTCCAATGCTTCAAGCCCTAAACATAATGGCAAAGGTGAACCTTGGTCTGGTCAAGCGATTACGATATCATGCCATCTATAGTATTTCTGTGGAAGTTTCCAGAAAATCCTGGGAGAAATCTGGTTTCGTGTGAAAGTTTCAGGAGATACTTCCTGCACAATGTAATAAAAATCCAACTTCCTAATTGTACTCTGCTATGGCTATTTTCAGAGTTTGCGTTGACTTTGCGTCAAAACTTTTTCGAAGTTTTAATAAGCGGTTAATGTTGCAGGATGTCGTGGGAGTTAACACCCTCTCGATCCTGGTCATTAGTTAAATATGTCGATCTTCGTCACAATCCGGTTAGAACAATTGTGAGTATCGTAATTCTCAAGTGACTTTAACTTCCGCTAGAATTTGCTCGGCTAATTTTGCTCTTCTGATTCAGATAGATTCTGATCTTCTCGTATACTTATATCGAGAGCAGCGACTGCTTACAATTATGCATAGGGCTCACGTGGTTGAAAAAATATATCTTTATGGTAGTCAGTTGACTGTTCTGTAAGTTTTTTCGTCAATTTTCTTTTCGTTACATCATGGCTAACAGTTGGCTAACGATAGTGATTGAAGTATAATTTCCTGGAAAGGCATCTGAAAGTAAATTCATGTTAGGATTACCGTGCTTTTTGAAGTTAGTTGCGAAGTAGCATAGCTCAGGACATGTATGTCTCCATCACAATTGCGGGCAACAAAAGAAGTCCTTCCGCCAGGCTACACCCACTGCAGCAAATTCCCTGTTGGGAAACAAGTAGAACTGAGAAAAAACATGTAGCGAAAAAAGTTACTGCATTGAAGGAAGGATTATCCATTAGGGTGTTTTATGCCAAGGGAGAGTTTTCGGGGAATTTTTATTCTGGATTGTATAAGTGTATAAGACCTTTGAAGCTCATAATATATTGAAAAAGTCGTAGGGATCGCTGCAGGAACGGAGAAAAATGTTTTTTCAAAAAGAAATTTTTTCCGGCTTGTGGTTTACAAATATTTGCTGCCCTTTGCAGATACGCACATCCACGAGAGCACGATAATGTGAGAGCACAATGAGCATGATGAAATGGGGTGTGGATAAGTATAATATGTAGTAGAAGGATAGAATTTACAGTGAAATCCTTGCCTGAGTAATCCAGGGGCTGGTTTTGTATTGGAATATCATGGTTTTGTAATTGTGAAAATGGTGTGGGAAGAAATCCATTCCACAACAATAAAGTAGAAGATTATTGCCTTATTGTTAGAATATGAATTATTATTATACAATTTCACTTGCATTGCCGTACTGAAATGCATTTTGTATGACCAAAAATGTTTTGGCAAGAATGTTGAAGAAACACATTGGTTACGGTGCGGAGAGCTACTTGATCTTATTGTTAGCACAATCGGGTTCAGTTGAGTATTCCAAGCTCATTAGCCATTACTTCTGATTTGTTCGCCCCTCAAAATTTAGCTTACAGCTATCGTAAAGCGGCTGTGGTGTTTTCTGTGAATATAGCTCCTTCTCAAGTAACGAAGTTTCGAATACGTCTATCAGGTGTGGCGGACAGAATCACGTTCTGTCTTGCAGTTTCTGAGTTTGTCGAAGTTCGCGAAAGTCCTGCGGTATGTTGTGAGATTTTATTATTTGCTTAACCCCTATTTGAACACTTTCCTTGAAGAGTCCAAACGGCTCCCAAACGCAGTTTTCATCTGGCAGCAGCAGTTATCCAGAGTACCACAACTTAAGTCAGTCCAGTCTCTCTCAATCGTCTGTAATGGTAAGCTTTATCTAGGAAAAACTTTCTTTGTTGCTCAGTAATTATTGAACCATTCATATAGCTTTTTAATTTTTGTAGTAAGTAAAAGCCCTTAATCATCACCGAAAGAAAGGCTATATTGTCTTTGCTACAGAGTCTCAGGGAAACGAAATGCACTAGTCTCACTACCTTTCCAAGGACTTCTTTCGAAATGGATGGTCGGAACACTTATCCGACATCGAGCTCATACCAAGGGAGTAGTGAAGATGTATGTATGTTCGTGTGACTTTTATAATAAGTCTTTCATTACATTACACTTTGCAGATGTTTTCGCGCTCTTCACAGGGTTACTCAGTGGATGCCCTATCCTCAAGATCATCGCCTATTCCTTATGTATTCTGTGAGGTGAAGCAAAAAATCGCCACATTGTATTTTGCGAATTTATTTACTTCCTTAATATTTAACATTCAAATTATTTTTGAAAAGTTCAGTCGTTCATCTTACAACTGAAGGTAAGGGCCAGCTTATCTTGCTCTAAGTCTTTATTATGAAGTTTCCAATGAGAGAAGCCATGACCATAAACTCATTTCGATAATCTTCTCGATTACTGCTAGCCAAATATAAGATGTTCTTAACCCTATCTGTGCAAAAATTCTGTCCAAATATGCTATCCTACTCACTCAACTGTTCAGAAGCCGGCAGTAAAGGACGCCGATACACAAACTGATCCTATGGACATATGCCAGGCTACTCCAGAACAGATAGAAGCCTTCCTTACTGAACTTTTAAAAGATCCATCATTCCAGAGCTTGGTGAAGAAAATGCGGAAGGTTCTACCAAATGTAAATCGTTCAAACGGCTAAACATACAGTTTCATTTGGTACATCCACTCTTATAAAATCAAAGTATTCTTTGTATCAAAAGTTTTTAAAAGCGAGCATTTTTTATTTTTGCAGGTTTTTATATAGGTTTGTATTTGTTGCCCTGAAGCATTTTGATGTATCTCGTTAAAGTTGGTTCCTCGTATGAATTTCTCGCATGACATTGCATTGTTGCACTAACCTCTTGTTTTCGTTGTACTACCTATAGTTTTTGTTCATGTCGAGTGAATTACTGTATCTGTCTGAATCTTGAACTCGTGTAAATCGAAAAGAATTCTGTGCATAGAAAGTTTTCATGTTCTTGTTCTTCATTGTTTTTGGCTCAGAGAAGTAAAAAGATTTCGAAAAGCGAAGTGTAGATAAAAATAGGCGTGTTTACATGACGAATACCTACCAAGGTATCAAAGGTATAAAAGTATCGTGATTTTCAGCGAAATTCTACAGCTTTTCTTCTAGCTGCCTGAAGTATTGCCAGAAGGTTGCAGAGAAGGTTATGTAGGATTTATTTTTTCGGGTAGTTAATATAATTGCTTCAACATAATGCATAAAAAATATCGCAAATCTAGCCGGAACGGGGTTTTTTCACGGCATCCGCCGACTGGCTGGCTGCTGCAAAGCCAATTAGAGTTGTCGGTTTGTCATTGGAAGATCTTATACTCGGGTTAGTGCACATGAGGCTTCCTAAAAGTTGGTTATCGCTAACTTGTATGTGGCACTACGCGGTGAGAGGCTGGAATTCTGGCTTCGGTGCAGGTTTGAAATTGGAACAGGGAAGGGCTAATGCTGCTTTCAGCCCCTGAGGTCTAGGTATATAATCGCATCGTCAGTCTAGTAAAACTTCTCATACGTCTTGACCTCGGGTCAATACCCGGTACCTCGATCTTCGTTTACAAACCGCCTGATTGGATGCATACTGATTGTTTCGATTCTTATTTGTATTTTACAGGGCTGGAAACTGGACAGCTCAAGATATCTCGTGGAGCACTCTTCGGAACTCTTATGAACTATAGAAGCTCAAAAGAAGGTAAAGCAGAAAGTGATTTTTAGTGTCTATGTAGTATACCTCAAGAAACTTGCTGGAATATTACTTTATTTCACGCGATGAGTTAGAACCAGATTTTTTTTATATTCCACGGATATCAGCATTTCAATCAATATACCACCTCTGCTGTCATTTGTTTACCTAATAACAATAGGATAGTAAAACAGATAATAGATTAGATAGTAGAAGAAACAGATAATAGTAATAGAAAAACATACATATTGCCATTTTTCTATTCCCAACGTCATAAACATGCCCTGGAGACATAAATGGCTTCGCTCGGTGGCCATAGTGATCACAGCAAGTGTTCAAGTGCTTCTCTGCGTCTCAGAAGAACTACCCTTCCGAAAAAGCATTTTCCGTCAGGAAATCATTTGAAATACTTTTTACTAAAGCGGAAGTCGTCCTACCCATCAACTTCAAGTGCCTCCGCATATTCGTTATAGTCTCTAACTCGATGATTGCTCTGTTCTGTTTGCGAAATCTGTTCACACGGGTGGTAATATTTTCTGCGCTAATTTTTGCTTTTTATTTCACTTATGACACGCTACTGGACGCCAACGCGAGACTGAAGGTAATTATTTTGTCTATATATTTGGTCATTAATATTCATTTTGAATTACTATGGCTATTTTTTCAAGGACCTCTTCTGGTTACTGTATAGTTTCTTCGGAATATGCGAATAAAAAAAAAAGACGAAAACCTATGGGGTTGGTTTGCTATTGCCTTCGAACTGTCCCACAAAATACCTGTGAAACCGTTACTTCAATTCGAACCATTAAATTGATGTGAAATGACAAACTAATTTGAAGCTCGCTTTTATAGCTTGGCTTGTTCCTGTCTTTCCCAAGACTTGTACATTTCACATTTTCGATGATTGCTTCAACTTATATTTAGATTTTCACATTCATACTCAACACACCATCTTCATATTCGCTTTTTGCTATATGTGGATTTGAAGATTCGCCTCATGGGCAAAGATTTTTGATGTTTTAGAAATGCCGCACAGAAACAAACCATAAGTGAGTTGTATTGAAGCGCTCTTTGAAGCCTTCTGAATTGTGTAGATATGGCTGCCTCAAATTGTTGGAGGGGTTATTACATCCCTTTGTCATGAATATATTCGTAGCCATAAAAAGGAGCGGAAGCTTTCAATGTCAATGGCTGTCAGTAGGTTGGCTGAGCGCTCATGGAAAATTAGTCTCGAAATTACCTAAGTTCCACCAAGATTTATTAATTCAGTTTCGGAAGCGTCTGATTCAATTTCACGGAAAACAAATTATTGTTATGGATAAAATGCATGTAATAATGTAATAAAATAAAAATAATAGTGTAATAATGTAATGTAATAAAATGTAAAATTTATGCGATAAAAACTGAGAACATTTTGCGCTTTATTTCTATCCTGAAGTGTTCAGGGCTCCTGTTCCAGCGGACATAAAGCGTTGAAATTTGGTGAGAGTACAGGCGACGGGATGGGAACACTTATAGTAGGTGACAGGACCGGACTCCGCCCACAGGAGGCAGGGTTTGCGCGAAATAGATATCTGAGCGGAAATTCATAATTTCTGCTCCCGTGGACCTAAAGAGTTCAAGTTTTGTAGGATTACAGCTTTACATACTTCATACCTACCATTCAAAATTCTTATCATCGGTATTACGATGTAGCTTTCGCTGTTCAGTATGTTTCACACGATAAGGCGAGATGGTAGAGTATGGTGACAAGAGCGAGTGGTAAGTGCAGCGACCAATGCGGGGACCCATTACCAGTGCTAGGATAAGCAGTTGAGAATTTAGTTCATTTCCTGCTATTGGACTACGACCGCTACCCACCAATGTTTGCTACACAATGAAGGATTCTCTTTGGTCGTTACCATTTGTAACAAAAGTCCATCGAGAACGACATCTGATAATAGTGTTATCACCACTCGAAACATTTGTGAGCACAGCCCAAGGCTTTGGTTGTCTAACAGTTGACTCTTTGATGAGTATTTACTTTTAAAAACGAGAGCAAAAGATCGAGGCTTGCAATTAAAGGATAAGCACCGACTCACCCTGAGTACAAATTGCACTGGCCTGTTATTTCTGTATCAACCTTGAGTACATGGAAGTATTATTTATTTCAAAAAAGCTGTAAAAGCTAAAAAAGCTGTCAGCCGATCACTACAATTTTGTCAAAGGAGTGAAGCGTGGCGTTAGCCGGCAAACCAGACGGGTAGGACTGGTCAGTAAGAAAATGAGTAAAAGTCACAATTTTATCAAAAGCGTATTAATGGTTGAAATTTATGACCTACTTAACTTCTCTTTTTGTTGAACTTCTTGATCCACTTTCGCCAGAAGTCGACGGGCCTAAGTAGGCGGAGTAATGTGTGAGGAACTTTTTGAGATCCCTTATTCTTCAATGATCCAACCCCTCATTCCGTTGAATAGTGAGAGAAAATTGGCACTTTTTTTGGCACGAGGGTTGGCGTGTGGCTAAATGAGTTGGCCATTAGTTTTCTTTCATGTATTCAGAAAGAGTGACACTGTAGGGCGGTATAAAAACTGTCCAATTTCCATGCTGGAGCGTTTCCCAGCCAGCTGACGTTTTTTGTCCACCAAATGCCGGTGCTTTCTAAGAATTGGATTGAACTTTATAGCATTTGCGAATTTCTTCGACTTTGATCGAAGGGTTACAAGCAGGAAGAGGAAAAGCTATGCACGCTAACGCGCGCAGTATATGTCGACGGCCACATATCCGCGTTGGAGTCAAATAGCGGAATGTTGGATAATCAGGGTAAGATAGTTCCCTCTAGATTCGAATGTAGAACTGCCGATAGCATCACGCTCGATATATTTGAGCACAGTTATTAGTGGTTGATCATAGCTTCGTCCACCTTAGTGCAAACCCTTTCCACAATAAACTTGACCACCCTTCTTTTGACTGCTCCAAACCATTTTTTCCGCATTCCAGAAAGTTTTTCAAGAGATGAATTTTTGGTCCTAGCCCCGCTTCCATGTGCCAGCTCCGCCCCTTCGAGGACTTACCTAGATTTGTTCCATTACCTCTAACCACTTTTTTCCCGCACTCTAGAACGTTTCTGAACAGAGCTGTAACGTTTTGATCTAAGCCCCGCCCACTTTGG